CTGCCTCCTTTATTACAATAGACTTAAAATCACTATAATACTGAGTATCCATAACTACAATCATACTACCTTTGTCTGCCTTTTTTATTGTGTCACCTGCGAAAAGCTGGTGACACATAGGTATTGCTATGTCAGTGTCGGCGGTGTCCGCACAAAGTTTTTCGTAAGATAACTTGAGTTTCCTTGGGCCGATCAAACTCAAACTTCATGCAGTGCTTCCTTAGCAAAAGTGCCTGCTTGGGATTGCTTTTCAGATCCAAAGGTCAAAGGTCACTGTTACTCTAAATAGAAAATCTGTTTTCGTGCGATAACTTGAGTTTCCTTGGGCCGATCAAACTTAAACTTCATGCAGTGCTTCCTTACCAAAAGTGCTTGCTTGGGATTGCTTTTCAGGTCCGAAGGTCAAAGGTCAAGGTCACTTTGAAGCATCCTTGGGTGAAGGGGAACCGATTTTGTATAAACGATGGGTCTGGCACCCCAGGGGCCTGAGGGGCGGGGCCCAATAGGGGAAACATATCTAATTATTCTTTAAAATCCTTCTTCTTCTGTAGGTATGAAAAGATTTGGTCCATATTTGGTGTGCAGCATCCTTGGGTAAAGGGGAACCAATTTTGTATAAATAGTGGGTCTGGCCTCGCTGGGTCCTGAGGACGGGGCCCAATAGGGGAAATAGAGCTAAAAACCTTTATAATCCTAACTCTACCATAGGGATTAAGGGATATCCTAATTTAGTCTGGAGCATCCTTGGGCAAAAGGGACTCAATTTCGTATAATCAGCGAGTGTGACCACCTGGGGGCAGAAGGGAGGGGCCCAATAAGGGAAACATAGCAAATTCTTCAAAATCCTTATACTTCTGTAGGAACGACAGGATTTTGTCCAAATTTGGTATGAAGCACCCTTGGGTGAAGGGGAACTAATTTTGTATATCGGTGTGTCTGACCCCCATGGAGGCAGAGAGGTGGGGCCCAATAGGGGAAATAGAGGTAAAACCTTTTAAATCCTTCTTCTACCCTAGGGTTAAAGTGATTTTATCCTAATTTAGTCTGGAGCATCCTTGGGCCAAGGGGACTCAGTTTTGTATAAGCAGTGGGTGTGGTCTCCCAGGGGACAGAAGGGCGGGGCCCAATTGGAGAAATAGAGGTGAAACCTTTAGAATCCTTCTTCGACCATCAGGATTAAGGGATTTTATCCTAATTATTGGGCCAAGGGGGCTCTGTTTGAAGTTTGTTCTCGCTATATCTCAAGTACTGGATGGATCTTTCTGAAATTTCATATGTACTTACAGTACCTACCATAGAGTACTATATCTTTACTTCATACCAATTATTTTAAACATATTCAGGTGAGCGATACAGGCCCTCTGGTCCTCTTGTTCAAATCTTCCATTTAATATTGTGCAACAAAATGACCTCCAATAATGAAGAGCTTTAAACCTGCTACACTGGTTTTACAAGACCATTGATCAGAAACTGCAGGCAGACAGAACAGGAGCAACAACTCTTACAAAGCACCTGGCAAAGTTGTGACAAGTTCCTTAAAATACCAGTACTGTATATTATAATGATGTTTACTTCCAGATGCAAAGAAAGGAAATCATGAAGGCAAAAAGGAAAGAATTAAGAAAGCAAAGCCTGACAAGGAATAGAGATCCTGGATTTTCCACAGACTACTTTGGATTAACGGACTATTATTATGAAAATGGTATGAGCACAAATGATTTGATAAGTATATATTCATGAATTCAGTGAGATCTTGGCAATTTTCTTCTAATTATATATGTTTTTTTTCAAGAACCAGACATAACTAAATTACATACTGGTTTACATTGCAAAAAAAACCCCACTTAAACACTGCCTACTATGAGATTGGGGATGGGGAGGGGGTTGGAGAGTGAGAGAAGGTAAGTAGAAGGGGTTGGAGAGTGAGAGAAGGTAAGTAGAGGGGGTTGGAGTGTGAGAGAAGGTAAGTAGAGGGGGTTGGAGAGTGAGAGAAGGTAAGAAGAGGGGGTTGTAGAGTGTGGGAAGGTAAGTAGAAGGAGTTGGATAGTGAGAGAAGGTAAGTAGAGAGGGTTGGAGAGTGAGAGAAGGTAAGTAGAGGGGGTTGAAGAGTGAGAGAAGGTAAGAAGAGGGGGTTGTAGAGTGAGAGAAGGTAAGTAGAAGGGGTTGGATAGTGAGAGAAGGTAAGTAGAGAGGGTTGGAGAGTGAGAGAAGGTAAGTAGAGAGGGTTGGAGAGTGAGAACAGGTAAGAAGCAAGGGGTTGGAGAGTGAGAGAAGGTAAGTAGAGAGGGTTGGAGAGTGAGAAAAGGTAAGTTGAGAGGGTTGGAGAGTGAGAGAAGGTAAGTAGAGAGGGTTGGCGAGTGAGATAAGGTAAGTAGAAGGGGTTGGATAGGGAGAGAAGGTAAGAAGAAGGGGTTGGAGAGTGAGAGAAGGTAAGTAGAAGGGGTTGGAGAGTGAGAGAAGGTAAGTATAGAGGGTTGGAGAGTGAGAGAAGGTAAGTAGTTCTGATTGATCTGGTGATAAATAGGAAAGTTTCATAAATTATTAGGTACACGCATAAATGACAATTTCCCCAACATACAGAGAAAAATTCCCTGTAAACAGAAGTATTTACCAGAAGTATTTACAAAGGCCTGGGTTTAAATTAATAATTGATTATTCATATATACTGTATATTTCACCTGTACTACTGATGACGTCACAATCAGATGACAGCGTTTTTTATAATGATGCCAGAAATGAAAATACATTGAAACTTTATTTGACTGGCTGGCAAATACAAACTTGACATCAGAAAGTGACACCACCTCAAGAACATAAGATCTGGTGTCCATGCTTGCCCTGAATCTTTGCGATAATCTGATATACCCACATTATAACAATACTTTTTCTGCTTGCGTTATGTCTAGAAATTGTACTATGTTTAGTGTTGCATTTGCAATGTCCATGTTTTACCAAACTTTTGCTTAAGTGGTGGGAGAACAGACCTATGGGTTTCAATAGGATTTCAGGTTGTGTATCCAACACAAAGGAGGCGGTTAATTTCAGTATATTTCATAATACCTCATTAACTAAATCTCTTATTATCCCCTGCGAAACACGTTTGCGGGGGATATTAAATTGGGCTCCGTGTGTGCATCTATGCGTGGGTTTTTTCCAGACCAGAGCTTTGAAACTGTTCAAGATAACTACTCAAAACTGTGAACATTTATCAAGCTAGTTCTCTAGTAGTGCCTTTTGCTATGGAGAGGTTCCCCATTTAAATAATTTTCTGTTACCATGAAACAGATAGGCCAAATTACAGATTTCAGTTGTTTGTATGACTCCGAACCGTTCAAGATAACTACCTGAAACTTTGTATAACTATCAAGCTAGCATTCTGGTAGTGCCTTTTGCTATGGAGGAGTTCTCACATTTAAAAAAAATGGTTACCATGGAAACAGCTAGATAAGCAAAACTACAAATTTTGATGTTTCCGGAGTAAAATGTCAAAACCTTTCAAGACAACTACATGTACCTGAAACTTTGTCCACTTATCATCCTATCACTCTAGTTAGGCCAAATTACAAATTTCACGGTTTCCAGAGCATGGCAACAAAATTGTTCAAGAACTGCTTGAAACTAAATTGTACACTTTATAAAAGCTAGCACTCTCTTGGTGCATTTTGCTACAGGAGGAGTTCTCATTTTGGATATTTATTTTTCCTTTTTCTGTTGCCATGGAAAAAGGCAAAATATGAAATTTGAGGTTTCTGAAGCATGATCTCAAAACTATTAAAAATAACAAATTGAAATTTAAGTTGTACACTTATCAACCTAATACTCTATTGAAGCCGTTTGTATTCAAGATGTATACAGGAAGTTTTGTACACTTATGAAGCTAGTACTCTTATCAAGCCTTTTTTGATCGGGAAGTCATCAGTGTTTTGTAAAAGATGATCTGCATCAAAATATCAGTATTAGTGGTGGAATGGAGTTAATACCATTATTCATTACTTGCATCAGATTGGCAGGCAGAGGAAAACAAATACCTACATGGAATATATGTTATTATTTGGAAGGAATTTAAATGATGATGTACCCGGTATATTTAACGTTATGTACAAACTATACAAACAAATACCAATATTACACATGCTATACAAACAAATATCATTATTACACATGCTATACAAACAAATATCAATATTACACATGCTATACAAACAAATATCAATATTACACATGCTATACAAACAAATATCTATATTACACATGCTATACAAACAAATATTATTTTTTCATATTATTCCTGACAAGAGATTAGTCAAAACCGATATTGACTTGGAGCGCATGATTTTTGTTGAAGGACTGGATGTTTCTAAAAATAAAATTATGACGTGTCTCCAAACGATGCACCGTCCCACTGCCGAAGCTTTTTCGTTGGATTTTTTCCAGATTGCTAACATAACTGTTTTGTAAAATAATAAATCAATTGTAGCCTTTGGCTGAGGTCGATACCTGTATTTATCGACCCGAGAAAAGATATATTGACCTCGGACTGTGTCCTCGGTCAATTTGTGTCCTCGGTCAATATATCTTTTCTCTGGTCGATAAATACAGGTATCGACCTCAGCCAAAGGCTATAATTGAATAATATTACACATGCTATACAAAGAAATATCAATATTACACATGCTATATAAACAAATAACAACATTACACATGCTATACAAACAAATATTATTTTTTCATATTATTCCCGACAAGAGATTGGCCAGGAGAGCATAACGTGTCCACCGATAAAAACCGATATTGACTTGGAGCGCGTGATTTTTGTTGAAGGACTGGGAGTTTCTAAAAATAAAATTATGACGTGTCTCCAAACGATGCACTGTCCCACTTCCGAAGCTTGTTCGTTGGATTTTTTCCAGATTGCTAACATAACTGTTTTGTAAAATAATAAATCAATTATAGCCTTTGGCTGAGGTCGATACCTGTATTTATCGACCCGAGAAAAGATATATTGACCTCGGACTGCATCCTCGGTCAATATATCTTTTCTCGGGTCGATAATTAGAGATTATCATATGACCATTTTGATATCACACCCCGTATCAGCTTGAGAGTCCTGATATCAGCCAGAGGGCCGAAGGCCAGAGGGCTGATATCAGGACTCGAGGGCTGATATGGGGTGTGATATCAAAATGGTCATATCATAAACTTTTTATCATATGTTGTTTTCCTTTAAAATAAACAAAACATACATAAACAAGTCATTTCTTTATTTTATTAATACTGATATTCATAAAAATGATAACAAAAACAATGATGTATATAAACAAAACAGTAACAACTATCATAAAAAGTCAACATTTAGAAATTCCTAAATTCCTACAAAATAACATGGTTATTAATAGTTTTTAACAATATAACACAATGGATCTGGTTGGAATTCAATTTAATCACTGTCTGAAACGATCATCAACACAATACAATTTTCAGTATCCATTGGGCATTCCTCACTTAATGATTACAGTAATACTAATTAGAACCAACAGCTACCAAGCTTATAGAACTATTTATTATTCATTTGAATACTGTACCTACCTAAACCAAGCGCCCCTTTTTCATACAGAATTGACACTTCTTCCTTATTTAGTATATAAGCAGCATTTGGGCAGTTTCCTTTGCCTTGAGTCTTCAAATTCTTCATTTTGGCACTTAGCACATCACGAGAATGTTTGAATTTAATATCGGTCAAAATATTGACGTTGTAGTATTTCTCCTGTAGGTAACGGTTACAGTAAGGCTGGATTGTAAACACCTCGGCCTTTATGGTTCGTACTCATATTTATCGTTTTTTCTGACGTTCATGAAGATCCTGGTCATGTAATCCGCCAACTTTCTCTATCTTACACAACCAGTAGCGATAGATTCTATTATTCTCCCACACCTGACAGATTTATCTCCCGTTTTGCCGGTGCTAGATTTATCGATGAAATTGTCCACTCATTTTGAGACATCAGATAATCCGTGAAAATTTTGATGTCAGATTGCGTTTTTCTCGCAGTATTCTTGTTCCTCATGAAAGATGAGGAAATGTATCCTTGTTCCTCCTTGTTCCATGAAAGCATTATTAAATCACCCCCTGCATCCATAACACGTTTTGTCTCCTTTTCCAGGATTAATTCATCTAGTTCAACAATCCTTCCTGCCAATTCCTCTAAAATCTCCTCGCCAGTACTAGCTATAGTTGCCATCGTTGTTTTTGTTTACGCAGACGACAGGTGTATCACTAATAAGCAAATCCAAATACGGAAGCGGCGCCATCCGGAAATTTGGGTGGGGCTTTGTAAATCAATCTTTAAATTATTTTCCATGAAACGGCATTTATTCCATGCCAACAATTCGTTTGTTTACATTAAAAGCAGACAACAATAAGCGGAAACGGCAAAATCCGGAAATTTAGGAGGGGGTGTGATATCACTTTTCTAGGGGGCGTGATATCACTTTCAAGGGGGTGTGATATCACTCCAAGGGGTGTGATACCACCCGGGCTGATATCAACTCGTGGAAATTTTAGACTTATTACACATACAAAAAGGGTGTTATTATTAGTTAACATATGATAAAAACAAATACCAATATTACACATGCTATACAAACAAATACCAATATTACACATGCTATACAATCATTCATAAATCAACAATAAGGTTTTAAACCAATTTACAATGAGTGGACAAGTATAACACCTAGAATATGTCCCATCCTATCCCTCCTCCACTTCTTCAACCTTTTTCTTTTCTCTTTGTCGTTTGTCATGTCAATTAGAATGAATGTATTTGTATGTATAGCTATTCTTAACGTAATATCAATAATAATTGTATATTGTATTGTCCCGATCGGGAGACGGCCTTGTATAAGTTGTCAATATGACTGATCCCTTTGATTATTTTTTCAAAAAGATATGTTTGAATGAATATTGTTTAAACTTTTTGTTGATACAGGTTTAAGAAAAGTGTACCCCTACTACTTCAAGTTTGAGTCATATGTCAAAAGACGGTGGTTAGGCAAGTCTGTGATTCAAATTCTAAAAGAATTTCAGGTGAACACTGAGGACAAAAATAAAACCATGGTATGTAATGATGTATTGTACATAGTATGTATTGATGTATTGTACATGGTATATATGGTATATATTGATGTATTGTACATGGTATGTAGTGATGTATTGTACATGGTATGTAGTGATGTATTTTACATGGTATGTAGTGATGAATTGTAAATGGTATGTAGTTATGTATTGTACATGGTATATATATATATATGTAGTGATGTATTGTACATGGTATGTAGTGAAGTATTGTACATGGTATGTAGTGATGTATTGTACATGGTATGTATTGATGTATTGTACATGGTATGTAGTGATGTTTTGTACATACCATGTACAATACATCACTACATATCATCTACAATACATCACTACAATCCATGTACAATACATCACTACATACCATGAACAATACTTCACTACATACCATGTACAATACTTCACTACATGCCATGTACAATACATCACTACATATATATATACCATGTACAATACATCACTACATACTATGTACGATACTTCACTACATACCATGTACAATACATCACTATATACCATGTACAATACATCACTACATACTATGTACGATACTTCACTACATACCATGTACAATACATCAATATATACCATATATTGATGTATTGTACATGGTATGTAGTGATGTATTGTACATGGTATGTAGTGATGTTTTGTACATGGTATGTAGTGATGTATGGTAAATGGTATGTAGTGATGTATTGTACATGGTATATATATATTTAGTGATGTATTGTACATGGTATGTAGTGATGTATTGTACATGGTATGTACAATACATCACTACATGGTATGTAGTGATGTATGGCAAATGGTATGTAGTGATGTATTGTGCATAGAATGTAGTGATGTATTGTACATAGAATGTAGTGATGTATTGTACATGGTGTGTAGTGATGTTTTGTACATGGTATGTAGTGATGTATGGTAAATGGTATGTAATGATGTATTGTACATGGTATATATATATGTAGTGATGTATTGTACATGGTATGTAGTGATGTATTATACATGGTATGTAGTGAAGTATTGTACATGGTATGTATTGATGTATTGTACATGGTATATATATATGTAGTGATGTATTGTACATGGTATGTAGTGATGTATTGTAAATGGTATATAGTGATGTATTGTAGTGAAGTATTGTACATGTGGTATGTAGTGATGTATTGTAAATGGTATATAGTGATGTATTGTACATTGTATGTAGTGAAGTATTGTACGTGGTATATATATATGTAGTGAAATATTGTAAATGGTATGTCGTGATGTATTGTACATGGTATATAGTGATGTATTGTAGTGAAGTATTGTACATGTGGTATGTAGTGATGTATTGTAAATGGTATGTAGTGATGTATTGTAAATGGTATGTAGTGATGTATTGTAAATGGTATGTAGTGATGTACTGTAAATGATATATATATGTAGTGATGTATTGTACATGGTATGTAGTGATGTATCGTACATGGTATATAGTGATGTATTGTACATGGTATGTAGTGAAGTATTGTACATGGTATGTTGTGAAGTATTGTACATGGTATGCAGTGAAGTATTGTACATGGTATGTAGTGATGTATTGTACATGGTATATATATATGTAGTGATGTATTGTACATGGGATGTAGTGATGTATTGTACATGGTATGTAGTGATGTATCGTACATGGTATATAGTGATGTATTGAACATGGTATGTAGTGAAGTATTGTACATGGTATATATATATGTAGTGATGTATTGTACATGGGATGTAGTGATGTATTGTACATGGTATGTAGTGAGGTATTGTACATGGTATGTAGTGATGTATTGTAAATGGTATGTAGTGATGTATTGTACATGGTATGTATTGATGTATTGTTTATAGTATGTAGTGAAGTATTGTAAATGGTATGTAGTGATGTATTGTACATGGTATGTAGTGATGTATTGTTTATAGTATGTAGTGAAGTATTGTACATGGTATGTAGTGATGTATTGTACATGGTATGTAGTGATGTATTGTACATGGTATGTAGTGATGTATTGTACATGGTATGTAGTGATGTATTGTACATGGTATGTAGTGATGTATTGTAAATGGTATGTAGTGAAGTATTGTACATGGTATGTAGTGATGTACTGTACATGGTATGGAGTGATGTATTATAAATGGTATATAGTGATGTATTGTACATGGTATGTAGTGATGTACTGTACAATACTTCACTACATATATATACCATGTACAATACATCAATAACAATACATCACTATATACCATTTATAATACATCACTCCATCCCATGTACAGTACATCACTACATACCATGTAGTGATGTATTGTAAATGGGATGTAGTGATGTATTGTACATAGTATGTATTGATGTATTGTAAATGGTATGTAGTGATGTATTGTATATATATATGTACAATACATCACTACATATATATGTAGTGATGTATTGTACATACCATTTACAATACTTCCCTACATATATATATGCCATGTACAATACATCACTACATTCCATGTATATATACCATGTACAATACTTCACTACATATATATATACCATGTACACTACATCACTACATACCATGTAGTGATGTATTGTACATAGTCTGTAGTGATGTATTGTACATGGCATATATATATGTAGGGAAGTATTGTAAATGGTATGTAGTGATGCATTTTACATGGTATGTAGTGATGTATGGTCCATGGTATATATATATGTAGTGAAATATTGTAAATGGTATGTCGTGATGTATTGTACATGGTATGGAGTGATGTATTGTAAATGGTATGGAGTGATGTATTGTAAATGGTATGTAGTGATGTATTGTACATAGTATGTAGTGATGTATTGTACATGGTATATATATATGTAGTGAAGTATTGTAAATGGTATGTAGTGATGTATTGTACATGGTATGTAGTGATGTATTGTACATGGTATGTAGTGAAGTATTGTACATGGTATGTAGTGAAATATTGTACATGGTATGTAGTGATGAATTGTACATGGTATGTAGTGATGTATTGTACATGGTATGTAGTGATGTATTGTAAATGGTATGTACTGATGTATTGTACATGGTATGTAGTGATGTATTGTACATGTTATGTAGTGATGTATATATTTGGTATGTAGTGAGTCATGAGTAAAATCTTTACATTTTCAACTTCTTCTCAAGAACCAGCTGATGGAATTTTTTCAAACTTGGTCAGAATCATCCTTGGAAGATGAGGCTACGAAAGTGTAAAATTGGGATTCCTACCCAAACCCCAGGGGCCAGGTCAATCCATTCAGCCTTTGGGAGGGGGTAACATTTACTATTGTTTATATAGGGAAATAAAACTTTTGGGTATATTTTGTCAATTTTCAGCAGGAAATTATTCAAACTTCGTTGGAATGATTATGATGCCAGATGGCAATGAGATGGTATGAGAACATGAGATCCTGTACCATCCCAAGGTCTGGAGGAGTGGAAAATGGTTAAAAGTTAAAAAATATCTTCTTCATCAGACTCAGATGTTTTACAAACAAACACTCTTCATTGATAGAACGGTCCTTAGATGCATTATCTAAATTGTAAATTTCGTTATCTCCCTGCAGGTCATCTGCTCTCCTTTGTGGAGAGGGTAAAATTTACTATATACTTCGAGGATTGAACCCCGGCCGCCTGCATGGAAGGCCGGCGTGTTAACCACTCGGCCAATCCACCAATGAATGACCTCGGCATATGTTTAAAACATTTAAACAACTTCTTCTCAATAACCGAAAGGCCCCAGCTGGCTGATGATATTCGGCCAGTAACATGCTCAGATAGGAAATTTTGAAGTCTGCTCCTATGATTGACCTTCACCAATATTCAAATTCAAGGTCATAGGGGTCAAATGTATGTGTTGAAAACTTTCAAACAACTTCTTTTGAATAACCAAAAAGCATAGGGTGGTGATATTTTGCCAGTAGCATGCTTAGATGATGAACTATCAATTTGTTCATGTAGATGATCTTGACCCCCAGATTGCAAGACGGTCATGATCAGTTATAGAATGGTAACCGGTTCGACAGGTAATGCACTTTTTATTCCCAGCGAGACCCATACTGCTTACTAGGCATGGGCAAACTAAAATGTCGGCACTTCTTTAGAAACAATAGCCGGAAAAGATAGTCATTGGGTAAGATCTCAAAACCAGGAAAAAAACTAGATTTTTTTTTTTTTAAATCTCAATTGAAAGCTTTTTAACTTGCAATATCAGTTTTAAGGTTACAAGTGAGAGATTGATACCAGGTCAGCGATGCAGATCTATTGAGCCTCTTGTTTTTTACTAGAAATGGAGTGCTAGTCAAAAATGCTGCTTTTGGCAGAGACCATTATGGCATTACAATAGAACATTATAAAGAGGAACATGGAGCAACTCCTTCTGAAGATAATAATATTTTGTCAATATATTGTACATGTAACCAAATCTGGCCCTGATCAATTTAGTGTACTAATACAGAAATTCAATTTACTGTTATGTTTAGGAAGACATACTGAAAGACGGAGACGTAACACTAAATGGGGAAGCAGTCACCACAGATAAGATGTTGAAGGATGGTGATCACTTAGCACACAGAGTACACAGGTGACCCTCCACTACGTCATATACTGCAACAGTTGCTAATACATGTAGCTACAGGATAATAAGCCTATTGAAAATTGTTCCAGGTTTCTTATCCAAAGGCCTGAATACAAATCAAAATGAAACTTAATTTGAACAACAATGAGGTTAAAAATGTTCAGATGATGAAAACTATCAGTTCTACATTTTCAGAGTTTATGAAAGTTGAATTTTAAACATTTTGTTGTGGTTCTCTTAATCATTTGAACTTCTATGTTAGCTGATGTTTGTCACAGTTTTGCCATATCCCCATCTCTAATATTTCGGCAGACATGAGAATCCTGTGATTGGGACACCGCTGGAGGTTTTGGTAGACGATAAGGACGTAATCGTAATCAACAAGCCTTCTTCCATCCCTTCCCACCCCTGTGGCAGATACCGCTTCAACTCCATCCCATTCATCATCGGCAAAGATCTCGGCTACACTAACCTGCGCTGTAAGTTCTACAGTAATCAAGTATCAACATTCTGTACAATGTTCTGAACAGCATCTCAAATGTCAGTTCCAATTATTAAAGAAATTTAAGTAAACAAGCTTTTGGGCAGTAAAATCATAGAAATACAACAGGTTCGCATTAAATTGGGACATTCCATAAGTGATATTTCACCATTTCCTTATTAAAAATTTCAGACGGAATAATTAAGTTGTACAACATGTCTGTGATCGCAACTGCTCAACATAGCTTTAGTTGTACTGTATGTCTGTGGATACCACTGCTGCACATAACTATAGTTGTACTGTATGTCTGTGTCCAACACTGCTGGACATAACTATATAGTTGTACTGTATGTCTGTGACTACCACTGCTATGTATAACTATAGTTGTACTGTGTGTCTGTAGCTACCACTGCTATGTATAACTATAGTTGTACTGTATGTCTGTAGCTACCACTGCTATGTATAACTATAGTTGTACTGTATGTCTGTAGCTACCACTGCTATGTATAACTATAGTTGTACTGTATGTCTGTAGCTACCACTGCTATGTATAACTATAGTTGTACTGTATGTCTGTAGCTACCACTGCTATGTATAACTATAGTTGTACTGTATGTCTGTAGCTACCACTGCTATGTATAACTATAGTTGTACTGTATGTCTGTAGCTACCACTGCTATGTATAACTATAGTTGTACTGTATGTCTGTAGCTACCACTGCTATGTATAACTATAGTTGTACTGTATGTCTGTAGCTACCACTGCTATGTATAACTATAGTTGTACTGTATGTCTGTAGCTACCACTGCTATGTATAACTATAGTTGTACTGTATGTCTGTAGCTACCACTGCTATGTATAACTATAGTTGTACTGTATGTCTGTAGCTACCACTGCTATGTATAACTATAGTTGTACTGTATGTCTGTAGCTACCACTGCTATGTATAACTATAGTTGTACTGTATGTCTGTAGCTACCACTGCTATGTATAACTATAGTTGTACTGTATGTCTGTAGCTACCACTGCTATGTATAACTATAGTTGTACTGTATGTCTGTAGCTACCACTGCTATGTATAACTATAGTTGTACTGTATGTCTGTAGCTACCACTGCTATGTATAACTATAGTTGTACTGTATGTCTGTAGCTACCACTGCTATGTATAACTATAGTTGTACTGTATGTCTGTAGCTACCACTGCTATGTATAACTATAGTTGTACTGTATGTCTGTAGCTACCACTGCTATGTATAACTATAGTTGTACTGTATGTCTGTAGCTACCACTGCTATGTATAACTATAGTTGTACTGTATGTCTGTAGCTACCACTGCTATGTATAACTATAGTTGTACTGTATGTCTGTAGCTACCACTGCTATGTATAACTATAGTTGTACTGTATGTCTGTAGCTACCACTGCTATGTATAACTATAGTTGTACTGTATGTCTGTAGCTACCACTGCTATGTATAACTATAGTTGTACTGTATGTCTGTAGCTACCACTGCTATGTATAACTATAGTTGTACTGTATGTCTGTAGCTACCACTGCTATGTATAACTATAGTTGTACTGTATGTCTGTAGCTACCACTGCTATGTATAACTATAGTTGTACTGTATGTCTGTAGCTACCACTGCTATGTATAACTATAGTTGTACTGTATGTCTGTAGCTACCACTGCTATGTATAACTATAGTTGTACTGTATGTCTGTAGCTACCACTGCTATGTATAACTATAGTTGTACTGTATGTCTGTAGCTACCACTGCTATGTATAACTATAGTTGTACTGTATGTCTGTAGCTACCACTGCTATGTATAACTATAGTTGTACTGTATGTCTGTAGCTACCACTGCTATGTATAACTATAGTTGTACTGTATGTCTGTAGCTACCACTGCTATGTATAACTATAGTTGTACTGTATGTCTGTAGCTACCACTGCTATGTATAACTATAGTTGTACTGTATGTCTGTAGCTACCACTGCTATGTATAACTATAGTTGTACTGTATGTCTGTAGCTACCACTGCTATGTATAACTATAGTTGTACTGTATGTCTGTAGCTACCACTGCTATGTATAACTATAGTTGTACTGTATGTCTGTAGCTACCACTGCTATGTATAACTATAGTTGTACTGTATGTCTGTAGCTACCACTGCTATGTATAACTATAGTTGTACTGTATGTCTGTAGCTACCACTGCTATGTATAACTATAGTTGTACTGTATGTCTGTAGCTACCACTGCTATGTATAACTATAGTTGTACTGTATGTCTGTAGCTACCACTGCTATGTATAACTATAGTTGTACTGTATGTCTGTAGCTACCACTGCTATGTATAACTATAGTTGTACTGTATGTCTGTAGCTACCACTGCTATGTATAACTATAGTTGTACTGTATGTCTGTAGCTACCACTGCTATGTATAACTATAGTTGTACTGTATGTCTGTAGCTACCACTGCTATGTATAACTATAGTTGTACTGTATGTCTGTAGCTACCACTGCTATGTATAACTATAGTTGTACTGTATGTCTGTAGCTACCACTGCTATGTATAACTATAGTTGTACTGTATGTCTGTAGCTACCACTGCTATGTATAACTATAGTTGTACTGTATGTCTGTAGCTACCACTGCTATGTATAACTATAGTTGTACTGTATGTCTGTAGCTACCACTGCTATGTATAACTATAGTTGTACTGTATGTCTGTAGCTACCACTGCTATGTATAACTATAGTTGTACTGTATGTCTGTAGCTACCACTGCTATGTATAACTATAGTTGTACTGTATGTCTGTAGCTACCACTGCTATGTATAACTATAGTTGTACTGTATGTCTGTAGCTACCACTGCTATGTATAACTATAGTTGTACTGTATGTCTGTAGCTACCACTGCTATGTATAACTATAGTTGTACTGTATGTCTGTAGCTACCACTGCTATGTATAACTATAGTTGTACTGTATGTCTGTAGCTACCACTGCTATGTATAACTATAGTTGTACTGTATGTCTGTAGCTACCACTGCTATGTATAACTATAGTTGTACTGTATGTCTGTAGCTACCACTGCTATGTATAACTATAGTTGTACTGTATGTCTGTAGCTACCACTGCTATGTATAACTATAGTTGTACTGTATGTCTGTAGCTACCACTGCTATGTATAACTATAGTTGTACTGTATGTCTGTAGCTACCACTGCTATGTATAACTATAGTTGTACTGTATGTCTGTAGCTACCACTGCTATGTATAACTATAGTTGTACTGTATGTCTGTAGCTACCACTGCTATGTATAACTATAGTTGTACTGTATGTCTGTAGCTACCACTGCTATGTATAACTATAGTTGTACTGTATGTCTGTAGCTACCACTGCTATGTATAACTATAGTTGTACTGTATGTCTGTAGCTACCACTGCTATGTATAACTATAGTTGTACTGTATGTCTGTAGCTACCACTGCTATGTATAACTATAGTTGTACTGTATGTCTGTAGCTACCACTGCTATGTATAACTATAGTTGTACTGTATGTCTGTAGCTACCACTGCTATGTATAACTATAGTTGTACTGTATGTCTGTAGCTACCACTGCTATGTATAACTATAGTTGTACTGTATGTCTGTAGCTACCACTGCTATGTATAACTATAGTTGTACTGTATGTCTGTAGCTACCACTGCTATGTATAACTATAGTTGTACTGTATGTCTGTAGCTACCACTGCTATGTATAACTATAGTTGTACTGTATGTCTGTAGCTACCACTGCTATGTATAACTATAGTTGTACTGTATGTCTGTAGCTACCACTGCTATGTATAACTATAGTTGTACTGTATGTCTGTAGCTACCACTGCTATGTATAACTATAGTTGTACTGTATGTCTGTAGCTACCACTGCTATGTATAACTATAGTTGTACTGTATGTCTGTAGCTACCACTGCTATGTATAACTATAGTTGTACTGTATGTCTGTAGCTACCACTGCTATGTATAACTATAGTTGTACTGTGTGTCTGTAGCTACCACTGCTATGTATAACTATAGTTGTACTGTGTGTCTGTAGCTACCACTGCTATGTATAACTATAGTTGTACTGTATGTCTCTGGCCAATACTTATGATATTTGTAGCTATAGCTTGATAATTGTGATTGATACTTGATACACAAAAAACTTGGTATTCTAGTATAAATATATTTACAGCAACTTGATTGCTCTTGAAAAATCAATAATCAAATTATTAGTTGATTTTTTCAATGATTTTAACAGTTTTGGTTATTCAGTGCTATTATGCGAAAAAGCAAGCTGTAATATGATACTGCTAATTACATCAGTTCATTATTATCTGTCAGTGGTCAAATGTTGTGTTGATGAAGATTTTATTTCAGAAAAGTAACAAAGCAGATAGAAAATATGTTGGAATGTGTCTGAATATGTTTTCACTATGTACAAAATAATTTTATTGTAGATTTTTGCAAGTTTACACAAATATAGATATTCAGTGATCAGATATTAATGTGAATCAAACAGTGAGGATTAACATATTACTGGTGAATTTTGTTGATTGTTGAAAGATTTGTTGACATTTGTGTCCTCAGCAATCTACCGTCTAGACAGACCTACCTCAGGACTCCTGATCCTGGCCAAGTCTGCGGAAAAAACTCGCGAGATGGAAGATGATATTCTCCAAAAGAGGGTGCAGAAGGAATATCTAGCTAGAGTTAAAGGGAGATTTCCAGAGTAAGTTACAGAGTCATGTTTAAACAGATTGATACAGGACAGTGTAATGTGACTATTGACCATATGATGGTCAATTGTAGTGTGAGCAACATATCGTAGTATAAAGTGATATCAGATATTTTTATCTGGAAAGCTTGATTCACTGTGCGGGGGATATTGTAGGATAAGATATGATTTTGGTCACAAGAATTCTTAAAATCCAAAAGGAAACAATAATAATACATGTTGGTTTTCACAATTTAAGACATGTTCTGTATTACATTGAGCCATCACTATTAATAATACAGATATTGAGGTCTATATGTATGTCTGATGTTACCACCGACCAATAATACCTGTGTTTTCTGTGGTGAAGTCTATATGTATGTCTGATGTTACCACTGACCATTTATACCTGTTTTCTGTGGTGAGGTCTATATGTATGTCTGATGTTACCACTGACCATTTATACCTGTGTTTTCTGTGGTGAGGTCTATATGTATGTCTGATGTTACCACCGACCAATAATACCTGTTTTCTGTGGTGACGTCTATATGGATGTCTGATGTTACCACCGACCAATAATACCTGTGTTTTCTGTGGTGAGGTATATATGTATGTCTGATGTTACCACTGACCATTTATACCTGTGTTTTCTGTGGTGAGGTCTATACGTATGTCTGATGTTACCACCGACCAATAATCCCTGTTTTCTGTGGTGACTTCTATATGGATGTCTGATGTTACCACCGACCAATAATACCTGTTTTCTGTGTTGACGTCTATATGGATGTCTGATGTTACCACCGACCATTAATACCTGTTTTCTGTGGTGAAGTCTATATGTATGTCTGATGTTACCACCGACCATGAATACCTGTGTTTTCTGTGGTGAGGTCTATACGTATGTCTGATGTTACCACCGACCAATAATACCTGAGTTTTCTGTGGTGAGGTCTATATGTATGTTTGATGTTACCACCGACCAATAATACCCGTTTTCTTTGGTGAGGTCTATATGTATGTCTGATGTTACCACTGACCATTAATACCTGTTTTCTGTGGTGAGGCTATATATATGTCTGATGTTACCACCGACCATTAATACCTGTTTTCTGTGGTGAGGTCTATATGTATGTCTGATGTTACTAATGACCGTGTATACCTGTGTTTTACAGGGGTGTTGTAGAGTGTAACCAGCCATTAGATGTTCTGTCCAATAAAGACAGCCTGTATGGTGTTGTACCAGGTGGTAAGAGCAGTAAGACCATGTTTGAATACATCAGCTACAATGGAACATCCAGTTTGATTAGGTGTAAGTTTTGAGTAGTGATAGATCTTATAATTCTATTGCAGGCTAGATAATCTGAATTTTCCTTATACAACACACAGGACATTTTTTGTTTACATTTTATTTATGTTAGGGATCAAATTAATATAGTTATGTGATGTAAATGCTTTTTAGGTCACCTGAGCTTTGCTCAAGTGACCTATTCCAATCACTTTCCGTCCGTCGTCGTCCGTCGTCCGTCGTGCTTTGTGCGTAAACTTTTAACATTATCAACTTCTTCTCAAGAACCAGTGGATGGAATTTTTTCAAACTTGGTCAGAATCATCCTTGGTAGATGAGGCTACCAAATTGTAAAATTGGGATTCCTACCCCAACCCTAGGGGCCAGGGCGGGGCCCAAAAGGGAAAATTAGCCAATATTTCAAAAATCTTCTTCTCCAGACTCAGAGGTATTACAGTCATTTTCTCTGCATGGATGGAAAGATCATCAGGGGCTTTATTTAAATTGTAAATTTCAGGACCCCCGAGCTATCCGTTCTCCCTTGGGGAGGGGGTAAAGTTTACTATAGTTTATATAGGGAAACAACACTTTTGGGTATATTTTGACAATTTTCTGTTGGAAATTATTTTTACTAGGTCAGAATCATCTTTGGTGGATGACGGTATCACATTGTAAACTTGGAATTCCTGCCCCATCCCCAGGGGTTAGAGCGGGGCCCCAAAGGGAACATTTACAAATATTTTAAAATTCTTATCCTTTGATGACATGACAAGTATTGTATTTCACTTAGTTTACATGCTGATTTCCACATCACATCTAAACAATAAAATAAAGCTACCAGTACCTATGATATAACTCAGGTGACCACTAAGGCCTTTGGGCCTCTTGTTAAAGTTAAGAGATAAATAAGATGAAGTTATCATTTGAGATTTATAAACTCTCCGCTTCTGAAGTAGAGGGATCAGAATAGTTTATCTCATGTCAGGCCTACTTATATATTATGTTGTCTGTTATATTTATTTCAGGTTTGCCACAGTCTGGCAGGACCCATCAGATCAGACTTCACCTACAGTTCCTAGGTAGGACACAGGTTTCACTTTACAACATTTACAAGTATTACTAGCACATAGTATTTTATCCCTAGCTATTAATCCTGAATCAGTGACATCAGATAAAATTTCACCATTGAACCAGTTAGTCAATCTTTCGGTCTTATCTTCTTGTCAAAACCATAACTTCTGGTTGCCTGAAGATTGTCCTTGAAATTTCATAGATGAATGTAGCTGTGTGATGTACCAGTCTCATGGCCCTATGCCATAGGGTCAAGGTCAGGTCAAGGTCACATTACAGGTTTAAATTGGTTTAAAAGGTCAAATCATTCTTATTCCTGTCCAGGCTATAATTATTTCTGAAATCTGAACACTTTTATAAAAGACAATATATCATGACTAGATGATGAGTAGAATACCACACCAATGTCAGTACCTGAAAGGTAAGGGTCATATAATTAAGTCCCTCAAACGAACTGGGGGACTTATTGGTTTTACTCCGTTTCTTATTATTAAGTCCCCCAAACGAAGTGGGGGACTTATTGGTTTTATTATGGTTTAATAAGTATTATTAAACTTTGTTTATAAACAATTGTGTCTGCAATACTTAAGTTCATAGTCATTCATTCTACTTAGTCGTTTACATATGTGTATGTATCCATTGCCCACACTCACAGTCAACTACATGAACTATGACCTCTATCTGGGTCTGTCATTATGCATACTAATTAGTGCAATTAGTAAAATATCAAAGTTACATTAGGGGTGAAAGGTAAAATATCAAAGTCACATAAGGGCTGACGGGTAAAATGTCAGTCACATTAGGGGTGAAAGGTAAAATGTCAGTCACATTAGGGGTGAAAGGTAAAATGTCAGTCACATTAGCGGTGAAAGGTAAAATGTCAGTCACATAAGGGGTGATGGGTAAAATGTCAGTCACATAAGGGGAGAAAGGTAAAATGTCCAATTCACATTAGCGGTGAAAGGTAAAATATCAATCACATAAGGGGAGAAAGGTAAAATGTCCAATTCACTTTAGGGGTGAAAGGTAAAATGTCAGTCACATCAGGGGTGACGGGTAAAATGTCAGTCACATTAGGGGTGAAAGGTAAAATATCAAAGTCACATTAGGGGTGAAAGGTAAAATGTCAAAGTTACATTAGGGGAGAAAGGTAAAATGTCAGTCACATTAGGGGTGAAAGGTAAAATGTCAGTCACATTAGCGATGAAAGGTAAAATGTCAGTCACATAAGGGGTGACGGGTAAAATGTCAGTCACATAAGGGGAGAAAGGTAAAATGTCCAATTCACTTTAGGGGTGAAAGGTAAAATGTCAGTCACATTAGGGGTGAAAGGTAAATGTCAGTCACATTAGGGGTGAAAGGTAAATGTCAGTCACATTAGGGGTGAAAGGTAAATGTCAGTCACATTAGGGGTGAAAGGTAAATGTCAGTCACATTAGGGGTGAAAGGTAAAATATCAAAGTCACATTAGGGGTGAAAGGTAAAATGTCAGTCACATTAGGGGTGAAAGTCAAATGTCAAAGTTACATTAGGGGAGAAAGGTAAAATGTCCAATTCACATTAGGGCCGAAAGGTAAAATATAAAAGTTACATTAGGGGTGAAAGGTATAATGTCAAAGTTACATTAGGTGTGAAAGGTAAAATATCAAAGTTACATTAGGGGTGAAAGGTAAAATATCAAAGTTACATTAGGTGTGAAATGTCAAATGTCAAAGTCACATTAGGTGTGAAATGTCAAATGTCAAAGTCACATTAGGTGTGATATGTCAAATGTCAAAGTTACATTAGAGGTGGAAGTTAAAATATCAAAGTTACATTAGAGGTGGAAGTTAAAATATCAAAGTTACATTAGTTGTGAAATGTCAAATGTCAAAGTTACATTAGAGGTGAAAGGTAAAATATCAAAGTCACATAAGGGCTGACGGGTAAAATGTCAGTCACATTAGGGGTGAAAGGTAAAATGTCAGTCACATAAGGGGAGAAATGAAGTGAAACGTATTTTATCACCTAATGTACTTTGTTATCCAGTGAAAATACCCATGTCATATATTTTGCACATTTACCCATGTAATGTGACCCATCAGCCCTGTGATTGGTTGTAAGTTTTAATTGTTTCAATTGTGACATCACGCCTAGGACAAGTACCTGACGTCACAGAATTACGCACTGGAGTCAAAATGGTGTTTTTTTACATTTCAAGGTTGCATGAAAATTGTCATTTAACATGAATAAATGCCACAAATCTTGATTATGTGATAAAAAGGATCTTCATGGTTTTTATTTCATATGAAGTTTTTAGACTTGTTTCATAAATCTCATATGAAATGGAAACTTGTGTAAGATCCTATATGTATTACTTGTACTATTGGTCATTCTGGTTTTCATATAATAATCTTGTCTGGGATGTAACTTTTCAGATATATTTATGAAGTCTGAAGTACACCTTCATCATCCTGAATAAATATTCATAAAATATTTCAAGAAGTCATGTAAATCAGAGAGGGACCATTTGTTGTTAATATTCTTGACATCGTCACATTTTTTCAGTTCACAGAAATATATATCAAATGTTGTGATACAGATTCTGTTTGTCCCTAGATGAACATCTGTGTATGATAAAATGATGGGACACAGATTCTGTTTGTCCCTAGACGAACATCTGTGTATGATGAAATGATGGGACACAGATTCTGTTTGTCCCTAGACGAACATCTGTGTATGATGAAATGATGGGATACAGATTCTGTTTGTCCCTAGACGAACATCTGTGTATGATAAAATGATGGGACACAGATTCTGTTTGTCCCTAAATGAACATCTGTGTATGATAAAATGATGGGATACAGATTCTGTTTGTTCCTAGATGAACATCTGTGTCTGATAAAATGATGGGATACAGATTCTGTTTGTCCCTTTACAGGATTCCCTATAAAGAATGATCCCTTGTATAATGAAAGCTGCTTTGGTCCAAGTAACGCCAAAGGTGGCGTTATAGAAAAATCCATAACAGAGGTAAGTGTTTATGTTTGTAAATAAAGAAATTAAAGTTTGTAACAAAAGATGCCCATTGTTATATTCAAATTGCTAAATCATGAAATGTGTGTTTCAGTTAGAATGCTTATTTTCTATTACAGATCGTAAAATCTTTTAGAGAAAACCACAACGTTGGCTTATGGGTTGATGGAGATAACCCATTGTTTCAAAAATGTCTAGAAGAGGAAGAAGCTGCTAAGGTGATTCAAAATCAAGAACGTCCTTCTAGTCAAATGGAGGCTTCTAGTTCTAATCAAAGAGAGGAGCTTTCCAATTCAAATCTGTATGTGAAAAAAAAATCTGATTCTAATCTGCATGAAAAAGAAGCTTCTGGTTCAAATCTGTGTGAGGAGGAAGCTTCAGGTTCAAATCTGTGTGAGAAGGAAGCTTCAGGTTCAAATCTGTGTGAGAAGGAAGCTTCAGGTTCAAATCTGTGTGAGAAGGAGGCTTCTGACTCATCTGTTCCTCATAGGACTTCATTGTCTGGCGAGGAACCTGAAGCTAAACGATCAAGAATTGCTGACAGCATCTCTGGTGATGATACATCAACAGTCTCGGTGACTTTAGAGCAGCAAAAACAACCTACGCCTATGTGGACAACTGGACGACCAGAGTTTGACTCTCAGAAATGGATACCTGATGCAAAGTGTTTTTTCTGTAAGAAGAGATTCAAGGACCCAACACCATCAGACATGATCATGTATCTACATGCTCTCAAGTACAAGGTGATTATATATTATCTAAGCATTGAATTGCTGATAGATGGAAGTCATACACCATATAAATGTATTCTTGAAGTGATTTGATGTAATTTATTTGGCACTCAGTACGGCCTAGAATCTGAATGCTGTTCAATACTTAAACATATTGATTTGAACGGATGTTAAAGATTAAAGATTTGACAAAATTAAATGTGTGACACTCAAACTTTAAAGCTGCCTTGTCCTTCCCTTGACGAGGGAGACTTGTCATGTTTAAGTCTCATAAACCAGCAAACTTCATAATTTTCCCCTTGTTGTTTTTGCAAAGATTGAATATTTCAGCATAATTTTATCTGAAAACTGCAATTTCCTTCCAGAGTACTAACTTGCCATGTGACTCGTTGGCATATTTACCCTTTACTGTTTTTATCAATTCACAACAACTGATTCCTCATAACACTAAAGAGACCTCAGAGTGAGGCATACTGTAGAGGCTATTCAACTCACTGTAAATTACAACTTCCTGTTGTATATGGTAAAATAGATATTGCATCCAGGAATTAATACGGAAATTTGATCAGTTTATTGCTGCAAGTATTTTTCAAAATATTCCCGAAAGTCCCTGAAAAATGTACAATAAATGGTTGTGACTGAGGACTGATTGTGAATTGTTCCCATATACTGTGCACACTCCTTTTTGATATAATCAATTTTCCTTTAAAAAGGTGTGCACTTTATGCAAATATTTAAGGTTGTCAAAAATATCTTTGTATCTAACTTTTGGTTACAGGGGCCAAATTGGGAGTATGAGACACCACTACCTGACTGGGCGAGAGATGATTGGATAGAACCATTGTAACGGACAATGCAGTGTTCTATATAAGTAAATGTTTTTTGACTGAGCTGAATGGGCATTCAGCCTACTTCAACATCATCTGTACGAGACTTGTGCGTGGACATAGCACCATTTCACCCACGATAAAGGTCATTTAGACACACATGGACACAAAGTGGTCGTCTGTTGGTGACACAGAGACCTGGTAGACCTGTAAGTGGTTGTCTGTTGGTGACACAGAGACCTGGTAGATGTCTGTATACACTTGCACCAACATAAGAAACACACAATTTGAATAACAATCTTTATTTGATAACACATCACTAGTCATGTAATAAGAAGAAGAACACATATATCGGTGCCAATATGCAATGGTGAACAAAGAATATTATTCATCTTGATCAAAACCTTGATTATTAGCCTGTGTGTGAAATGTTCAGTATGAATAAAGCCATGACGTTATACCTTTATTGATGTTGCTTTAAAATATTTGTTTAGTTCACTTATAATTGTAGCACTACAATTTTGTTATGCACATCTCAACATAAATGCTGACATCGTATTTCTAGGCCATTTCATATTGTGAGGTACATCAGCTAAAATGTGCATTTTAAAGGCCAACAGGTATAACATGAAACGGTCTATTCCTTATATATATTGCAGTCAGATCAAATATTCCAGGATTGTGAACGAGTCCTAGACTTTTAAATTTCAAAAGTAAAGCTTTCTTTTGATAGATGTATAAAATGTGACAAGGTCTGAGATTTGTTACATATAAAACCTATGTGACTTCTATGTACATTTATATCTGTAATTTAACAGATGATCATTTTAGTAATAGTCCTAGGTTACAGTGCTATTTACTAGTACTAGTCATGTATGCAAAGTGTCATTAAAAACATTGGGTGAGAAGTTATGAAGGGTGCTGTAGACAAACTTCAATATACATATCTAAAGCTGATACCAGTATACTCCTCAACTTCACTCTTAGAATGATGGTAAATCAGATAAACTTTTACAATATTTATATGGTAAGTCACCCAAAACAATCATTATATGCTTACAGTCACCCCAAACAATCATTATATGGTAAGTCACCCCAAACAATCATTATATGGTTACAGCCACCCCAAACAATCATTATATGGTAAGTCACCCCAAACAATCATTATATGGTAAGTCACCCCAAACAATCATTATATGGTAAGTCACCCCAAACAATCATTATATGGTAAGTCACCCCAAACAATCATTATATGGTAAGTCACCCCAAACAATCATTATATGGTAAGTCACCCCAAACAATCATTATATGGTAAGTCACCCCAAACAATCATTATATGGTAAGTCACCCCAAACAATCATTATATGGTAAGTCACCCCAAACAATCATTATATGGTAAGTCACCCCAAACAATCATTATATGGTAAGTCACCCCAAACAATCATTATATGGTAAGTCACCCCAAACAATCATTATATGGTAAGTCACCCCAAACAATCATTATATGGTAAGTCACCCCAAACAATCATTATATGGTAAGTCACCCCTAATAATCATTATATGGTAAGTCACCCCAAACAATCATTATATGGTTAGTCACCCCAAACAATCATTATATGGTTACAGTCACCCAAAACAATCATTATATGGTAAGTCACCCCTAATAATCATCACATGGTGACAGCCACCCCAAACAATCATTATATGGTTACAGTCACCCCAAACAATCATTATATGGTTACAGTTACCCCTAACAATCATTATATGGTAAGTCACCCCTAATAATCATTATATGGTTACAGTTACCCATAACAATCATAATATGGGTACAGTTACCTTTACAGTCATGTTATGGGGACAGTTACCTTTACAATCATGCTATGGATACAGTTACATTTACAGTCATGCTATGGGTACATTTACCTTTACAATCATGCTATGGGTACATTTACCTTTACAGTCATGCTATGGGTACATTTACCTTTACAGTCATGATATGGGTACAGTTATCTTTACAATCATAATATGGGTACAGTTACCTTGACAATCATGCTATGGATACAGTTACATTTACAGTCATGCTATGGGTACATTTACCTTTACAGTCATGCCATGGGTACAGTTACCTTGACAATCATGCTATGGATACAGTTACATTTACAGTCATGCTATGGGTACATTTACCTTTACAATCATGCTATGGGTACATTTACCTTTACAATCATGCTATGGTTACATTTACCTTTACAGTCATGCCATGGGTACAGTTACCTTGACAATCATGCTATGGGTACAGTGTCACCCCAAACAATCATTATATGGTTACAGTCACCCCAAATAATCAGTATATGGTTACAGTCACCCCAAACAATCATTATATGGTTACAGTCACCCCTAACAATCATAATATGGGTACAGTTACCTTTACAATCATAATATGGGTACAGTTACCTTTACAGTCATGCTATGGGTAAAGTTACCTTAGTCACCCCTAATAATCATTATATGGATACAGTCACCCCTAACAATCATAATATGGGTACAGTTACCTTTACAGTCATGCTATGGGTAAAGTTACCTTAGTCACCCCTAATAATCATCACATGGTGACAGCCACCCCAAACAATCACTATATGGTAAGTCGCCCCATACAATCATTATATGGTAAGTCACCCCAAACAATCATTATATGGTTACAGTCACCCCAAATAATCATTATATGGTAAGTCACCCCAAATAATCAGTATATGGTTACAGTCACCCCAAACAATCATTATATGGTAAGTCACCCCAAACAATCATTATATGGTAAGTCACCCCAAATAATCATTATATGGTTACAGTCACCCCAAATAATCATTATATGGTTACAGTCACCCCAAACAATCATTATATGGTAAGTCACCCCAAATAATCATTATATTGTAAGTCACCCCAAACAATCATGATATGGTTACAGTCACCCCAAAAAATCATTATATGGTAAGTCACCCCTTACAATCATTATATGGTTACAGGCACCCCAAACAATCATTATATGCTAAGTCACCCCAAATAATCATTATATGGTAAGTTACCCCTAAAAATTATTATATGGTAAGTCACCCCTTACAATCATTATATGGTTACAGCCCCCCCAAACAATCATTATATTGTTACAGTCACCCCAAACAATCCTTATATGGTAAGTCACCCCTAATAATCATTATATGGTAAGTCACCCCTAAAAATTATTATATGGTAAGTCACCCCTAACAATCATTATATGGTTACAGCCACCCCAAACAATCATTATATGGTTACAGTCACCTGTAACAATCATTATATACAGTCACCCCAAACAATCCTTATATATATGGTAAGTCACCCCTAACAATCATTATATGGTTACAGTCACCCCAAACAATCATTATATGGTTACAGTCACCCCTAACAATCATTATATGGTAAGTCACCCCAAACAATCATTCTATGGTAACAGTCACTCCTAACAATCATTCTATGGTTACAGTCACCTGTAACATTCATTCTATGGGTACACTCACTTTTTACAATCATGCTTTCGGTAGACTTAACCTTTACAATCATGCTATAGGTACAGTTACCTTGACAATCATGCTATGGGTGTTACCTTAACAGTCATGCTATGGGTGTTACCTTTACAGTCATTCTATGGGTACAGTTACCTTTACAGTCATGCTATGGGTGTTACCTTTACAGTCAAGCTATGGGTACAGTCACCTTTACAATCATGCTATGGGTACAGTTACCTTTACAATCATGCTATGGGTAAAGTTACCTTTACAGTCATGATATGGGTACATTTACCTTTACAATCATGCTATGGGTACAGTTACCTTTACAGTCATGCTATGGGTACAGTTACCTTAACAATCATGCTATGGGTACATTTACCTTTACAGTCATGCTATGGGTACAGTTACCTTTACAGTCATGTTATGGGTACAGTTACCTTTACAATCAAGCTATGGGTACAGTTACCTTTATAGTCATGCTATGGGTAAAGTTACCTTTACAGTCATGCCCCAAACAATCATTATATGGTTACAGTAATATGGGTACAGTTACCTTTACAGTCATGCTATGGGTGCAGTTACCTTTACAGTCATGCTATGGGTACAGTTACCTTTACAGTCATGCCATGGGTACAGTTACCTTTACAATCATGCTATGGGTACAGTTACCTTTACAGTGATGCTATGGGTTTAGTTGCCTTTACAGTCACCTTTACAGTCATGCTATGGGTGCAGTTATAATATGGGTACAGTTACCTTTACAGTCATGCTATGGGTACAGTTACCCTTACAGTCATGCTATGGGTACAGTTACCTTTACAGTCTTGCTATGGGTACAGTTACCTTTACAGTCATGATATGGGTACAGTTACCTTTACAGTCATGCTTTGGGTACAGTTACCTTTACAATCATGCTATGGGTACAGATACCTTTACAGTCATGCCATGGGTACAGTTACCTTTACAGTCATGCTATGGGTACAGTTACCTTTACAGTCTTGCTATGGGTACAGTTACCTTGACAATCATGCTATGGTTACAGTTACCTTTACAATCATGCTATGGATACAGTTACATTTACAGTCATGCTATGGGGACATTTACAGCCATGATATGGGTACAGTTACCTTTACAGTCATGCTTAGGGTACAGTTACCTTTACAGTCATGCTATGGGTACCTTTACCGTCTTGCTATGGGTACAGTTACCTTTACTGTCATGCTATGGGTACATTTACCTTTACAGTCATGCTATGGGAACAGTTACCTTTACAGTCATGCTATGGGTACAGTGACCTTTACAATCATGCTATGGGTACAGTTACCTTTACAATCATACAATGGGTACAGTTACATTTACAATCATGCTGTGGGTACAGTTACCTTTACTGTCATGCTATGGCTACAGTAACCACGAAATATAACGTTTAAAACACTTTTTCGCGTTTATATTGTACATATTGTTTTAGCAATTTGTTCTTCCAACAATTGAAGATGATGACAGAAATGAAGCTTTGGTTTATTTCAAGCTGGAAACCGTCCAAACATTCGGATAACAACACTTCTCTAACGATATATTGTATGTATTAATCTTCAACAGGTAGATACCATTTTCACTTCTGGTCAGTTGTACTCTATAACACAGGGACATGGGAATGTATAACAGTCGGTATGTTTGGACCTCTTCTGATGTTTAGCGGCTGAGAGTAATGTTACATGTTTAAGGGGTTCAGCTATCGGTAACCATACCTCTCTCATTGATGGTACATATAAATCGTTGACCGAAATCCCTAAAACGTCTAATATTACTCTCTACACATCCGAATACATGTATGTCCACACATACCCATTGTAACAGATTATCCTGTGTCCTAGAATGGCAATATCAACATTGTCGGAATACAGTGCTTAAAGGTGTCCTCACACATAGG